TGGTACCATTTGTGCCGGTTCACTTCTATAATCTTCTTCACTTCTCAGAGGAGGCTTTTCAAATACGACCAATGTGTGAAGACGAGGATAATTTTCGCGCGATTGAAATGCCTCCTGCGGATCCTATGATAGAAATGCCTCTCTCGGGTTCAAACATTCTTAACGTGCCGTTGGAAAAAGACTTGCACGTTTTGTCTGACATGGTGTCTGATGAGAGATTGAATATGGCTGTATGTAAAACTCGGTTTAATGTTCAAGCGTTTGTTAATCACCAAATTCTGCATTCTCAAACTTTTACTCTTGATCCCTAAATCCTGTAATGTACCGCGATATCCTTTCCTTGCCAAACTGTTGATTTTCTGATCGTAAACTTCATCTGCCCTTAATATTTTTTTTCATTCACAGATGAAGGATGCAACATGCCTGGATTTTGGCTACTTGGATAAGGACTTACACTTTATGCTTATGTGTGATGAAGATGTCTCATTGTTAGTTTCTAATCCTTACGTCTCTCTTGTAGTACGATAACTTCCTAATTTTTAATGGAAACGAGAACGCCAAATCATTACTTTGGTCCAAGATGAAAGCAGCCCTAGATGATTGAATAAAAATTATTGGGTTACCTTCATCTGGTTCGAACCTAAGTAATGATTTGGCGTTCTCGTTTCCATTTGATTTATATCATAAAGGTTCCGATTTAATTTTATTTGTTTCTATTTTTAATTCAACAATGGTTCCTCACAAAACAACAATATTCAGACAGTAGTCCGCGCGGTTACCAATCTTCCGTTGATTTTATATAAGTACCTCTAAGTTAATTCATAATGTTTTTTATACAAAGAGTGATATGGTTTGCTTTTAATGGTTTGCTAGAGACCTGGAGAGACTACATATCAACGCGGAAGAAGACATCCTGGAGAGGACAAGTAACGTCACTATTACAGAAGGTAAATTATCAATGAAGTACTTTAAATATGATATACACATAATATTTTAAATAATATAATATACACATATTATTTAAAAAATTAAACCTATTAATGTGATCGTTTAATGAACAGAGATTGAAGAACAACAGTTATCTCAGGAAATCCATAGTCCAATGCTCGTGGATATATTCAGTAATCTCACAGAGAGACTGCCTTTAACTCCACAGAAACGAGCTACAAAGGAACCACGTGAAACACAAGTGGAAACACCTACGAAGAGAAGACGTGTACGTTTGTTTCTAATCGATAATGTCGTTTGGATGAAGTCCATAAAGTAGAGGGCAAACGAGAATCACCATGTAATAGCTAAAAAGTTAAAAAAATTAAGACTTGTCGTTTCCTCTGTTCTCATTCTGCGCTACTTTTTATTTACACCTAATTTTTAATTCGGACTCCTATACATTTTTCAGTTATCCTTTGAAGGTGCAACGATGACCGAACCTCCTGGTCCTGTAGAGGATGTGACACGGCAAGCGGACATCGAATTGGAATCTGTACACTCGAGCTACTTCGTGGTTCATCCTGCGGATGTGAGTACACTCAAGAGGACAGATATTGCAATTGCCGAACCTATAGACAGCACTACAAACATTCTACCAGATGCAATTCACGAAATGGATGTGGACGTGCCAATGGTACCGGAGGTGGTACATGATATGATTACTCTAGAAGGCACTGGGTAATAGTCTACTTATTGCTTATTGAACGAGAAAGTTAATTATTAAGAATTATTCAATTTTACTTGTTTTACTTGTCACTTTTTCAATATTTCCTCAATTGCTCAATCTTTCTTCTGTGTTTTGCTATTTTATGCTCCTTTAACACTTTAATTTCTCATTTCAGTATCTGTTTATTAAATGATATTATTTCAGCATCGGGCCTAGACCGCATCAGGAAAACTCAAATATAGCTGACACTAGTGAAAGCTTCGAGGATATCGAAAAATATTTATTAAAAAAACAGCAACCTGTTTTACAAGTACAACACATTCCAGCATCTCCGGCCATGTATTTTGAATTTTTCTTTTATTGTTAAATAAACAGCTGGACATAACAATATTCTAAGTGTATACTCGAACTTTCGTAAATGGATATTGACAAAATATGAAATTCATTAATTGACAGTTTGAGAAAAGAATAAAACTTTTATCGCTTTGTCGTAATCTAAGAACCTTGCTTAGTTCTTTTCTACGAAACTTAGCATATTGTTATCACATATCTACCGTTTAAAGAATTATTTGGCATATAATAAAAATATCGTTTTTACTGTTAGCTCTCGCGGTTCCTCGCAGCCTCAACTGACGAGTCAAGAGTTGTATGCTCTATTACAAGTTTCATGGTGTGACAAAGAATTCGTCAAATTCGGAAATCTTATTCCAAACGAGACGTACACAAAAAGGGATGCTGCTACTGCCTTCGGGATACTTCTTGGTGTAAAAAAATGCTTCCTTACAAAGCGTACAAAAACCTTTAAAATTACGGTTATTTTATCCATTTTTACAAATATCAAAAAGTATGCATTTTTTAATAGAAAGTACCGAAATAAAAGTTGTAGAGATTTAAATTATCTTTTATATGAAATCAAAATGATTGTAGTATGTTTCATAGGTTTTGTGCCCCTTCAACTTCAATACACTTTCGACTTAAATTAAACGGGGAGGAAATCCGTAAAGCGACGAGATCGCTCACTACTCGATGTCGAAAGTGTATTGAAGCCGGAGAGGCACATTTTGAGAACAATTAGTTTTTCACGTTTTTGTTTATTTTCTACTACTACTTCTACTAAACTCATGTTACATAAATTTTGAAAACCTGAGAAATCTATACGATATAACGATTCACTTATTCACATTTCTGGTTATAAAAATTTCCCCCTTTATCTCCCTTGTTCTAATTTTCTAGGAGAATTTCTGCACATATCGACAGTAATGAAATTAGAACCTTGTATTTAAAATAATAGGTAGAATATGATCAGATTACATTAAATTACATGCAATTTTAATATAAACAAATAAGAGTCTTATTAATTTACATTGAAATCGCATGTAATCTAATGTAATCTGATTATATTCTAATATTGTATTTTAAACAGGGATGTAAACGCAGAAAACAAAAATTCCCCTC